AATGTGGAGCAGACTCAATTAATCAAGTCTGTTCTGATTAGTTCTAATTATAACATGAACCACCACATCTACAGGCAGCCTATGACTTTAATCCTGCACTTTATGAAGTATAGGCAACAGGGAAGTCACCATGTACCTCTGTGCATTGTGGGATGTGGGAGCAGGGCCTTGATTCTGAATATTGAGCAATTCCAAATGTGGGACCAGGGCTTAAAAGTGACCAGGGGAGAACATAGCCCTAACCTGTGAAGCTTGACCCTTTGTGGGAAGCGGCGTTTCAAGCCATCACTTCCCTCCTCAGCCTCTCTCTTCTCCACTTCCCATCTCAGGTTTCTTTTATTTTCTTTGTTTTTCCCATGAAAACCCATTTTCTCTATGCCTCTGAAGAGGCTTTTGGGATGCTTATGGCATGAGTATGCATCCCAAATCACACTGGCCCACCAGCCACTCTTTGTGTCTCCATTTTTTTCTAATTTTGCTGAATGAGCTCTGAATATGAGTAGCAGTAGCCACTCCCACTGGTATAATAGCTTACTTGGAAACGATATCATTTACTGAGAAATAAAAAAACATCCATTAAGCTACTCACTGAAAGGTTCTCCAGAATCAACAGATCTGGGCATGTTCACTCACTTTTCACTTGTGTTTGCAAACACATAATGATGAAACAAGTGTTTCATTTGGCTGGTCTTGCTCATTCATTATTTTTGCCTTACTGTACTATTTGTGTCAATATTTAAGCAAAAAAATGAAAACAGAAGGAAAATGTCAAAGGCAAAGATGGTTAAGATAAAAGGTGGAAAGTAACAGGTCCCTTTTTTCAGGAACATGAATACTGCAACATTTGTTGAAGATACTCAGAGTTGTTACTCAGTGAAGTTTCTTTGACCACATTTAAGTCCCTATTCAATTAATTTTCCACAAACATTTGTGCAATCCTGAACTTGCTTAGCACCCGTGCTGTCAGCAAATTCAGAATCCTGTATGTGATGAATCACAACCCCTCCCCAACCCGAACACTTGTATGAATGTAACCCGTGCTCATTCCAGAACAGTTTGTGCTCTCATCTTGTCCATGAAAGAAACAGCATCATGTGACTTCTTTGATCAGTTGCAACCAATCAGTGCCATTCCGCAGTGAATGTTAAAGAGGTGTGAAAAGCTGTTGGCAGCCAAGATAAAAAATGGTGAAACAACATATTAATTTACATTGAACAATGGATGTTTAAGGAAATCACGGTCTGCTGGTGTTGGTCCATCAGCAGAATCAGCAGGTAAACTGTTTAGCTTCAATGTAAATTATTTATGGAGCCCCAATGCTTTATGTGATGAAATCTGCCAGATCATTTCTATGTCAAGGTTTGATTTCCATCTGTTTGCTCATGGAATGCATGAAAGCACTTCCCTGTAATTAAGATAGAATATGCTCTCACAAGTCAGCCCTTAGGACTTCCCTCTGCCTCCAAGAGAAGGAACCTGGTTTCCATTCTTGCTTTCATAATAAACCAACAGGTTTTGCAGGTCTTTTCTCGTACACACCCTTTGACAGTGTTGCAACAAGTCATTCAGACCACTAGTTTCTCAATACTTAATGTACTCGTCTCATCTTCTTCATTTGAACCAAAATAGCCAGGCAGGTCTATCATCTGCTGCTCTGATTCAGTTAAGCCAAAAGTAGAATTGTCGTAAAAGGCAAAGTTGGGGTCCAGTGGGAAACTCTGGCACTTGTCCTTCCTGTACTGAGCAGGGCTAATTGCAGCGCTTCTCTGCTTATCTTGGAGAGCTGAAATAGTTTCTTTCTTCCAAGACCCTCTGTGATTTGGTGACGGGCCTCTCTTTCTTCTGTTCAGTTCTGGTCTGCCTGGTCCTTTCTCCTGACCTACAAGCTGACGGTCACTGATCAGATCCAGCTTCCTCATTGGAGGGCCCCCTTTGTGCTGATGCTTTGTGCCATAGCTCTGTGGTTCACACGTTAACACAGTGGTAGGTGACAGATCAAGCCTTTCCGAAGTTGTATTGGCACCTCTAAATTTAGGCCGGATCCTGTCTCCCAGACCCTCATCCCATGTTCTGGTCCTGGAACTGTAGAGGGGAGCCTGCCGCGGGGTTAGGGTGGACATGCTCCTTTCCCTGAAGGGCCTGGCCTTTTTAGTCTCATGGAAGCTGGCTGTTCTTCTAAATTGAATGTTCTTGTGACCGCCTCTGTCCAGCTGCTCCCCTCTGTTGTCCTGGAGTTTCAGGTGAGCTCGCCTTATCATGGTCTGAGTTGGGCTCATAGCAGGGTTGCTTTGTGAGAGCATAAAATCCATCCTTGAATTAGACCTGTCCCCTGGAAATCTGGGCTGAGTGACCCGCTTGTCCAGGAATGGAGATTTGATCCTAAATTTGTTTGCAGCAGCCTCCTCTTGGTTTTCTGGGCCCAAGGGTAGCACTGCAGTGGCATCAACAACTGTGTCAGTCAGAGGAGCCTGAGATACATGATACACCTTTGTGGTTTCAGTCAGGCCTTTCTTTTTCATCTCCTTCAGCTGCTGCTGTGCAAGGCGGTAGCTGAAAATGGGAGGGATTATTTTCTGAGCATTCGCCTGAATATTCTCACTGCCAGAGGTGTCATCGTCTTGAGCAAACTGCAGGCTCCTCCTGTAGGTCAGAGGGATGTTCACAGGTGCCTCGCCTCCCTCAGAAAAGCTTTCCCGCTGCTTGCTCCCTTGGCAGATGTTCTCCTCATCGGAGTTCTTCCGGAAGCTGGGCGAGTGGATGGGATTACGCTGCATGGAGGCACTGCACTTCTGAGCCCTGCACAGCTTCCTCCACAGTGTGATCAGCACGGTGGCAAAGATTATAAACAAGCACAAGGAGATGCCCGTAATGGTGACTATATTATTAGCTTTCTGGTCCTCTCCCATCTGGGTGGATGGTGGTGTTGGAGGCTTTATAGCTGCAACATAGAGGGGATACATCATGTAACCAAACTGGCTTTTTCATTGGATGTTTGGAGTCTTAAGCAAGTGCTTTAAAATTAAGAAAAGAAAAATGCAGAATTATAATTCACGTTTAGAATTCATGGGCTAATTTGTCTGATGTAGTGTGCATTAAATGAGTTTAGTTTAGCTCACTACTCTCACCTTCAGATAAAAAGTGGTAAGTCCTGGTTTGCAGAAGATCTACCTATTTTATCCTGAAGACCTTTCAAACTGCACTTGTTACCCACCTTTCCTAACTTTGCTGCCCTTCATGATGATGATGTCACTGGGATATTTTAAATGCCTGACAATAAAGGGCAAGGTTGGAGTATCTCTAATCCTGTAGGAATCATTTTGCAAGATTTTGAAGGCACACAGGGGCAGCGTGATCCAGAGATCAGGGAGTCAGGCCTGCTGGATGGCATATGGCAAGTCCCTTCATCTCCCTGTGCCTTGGTTCCCCCAGCGGTCAAATGAGGATAATAATACTTGTGCTCTGTCAACCAAATAGGGAGTTACTGATGATAAGGTCTATAAAGGATCTAAGAACGTATTGATATAGGAGGTTGGCCTCATGATTCAGTTAGGCTGATTTTAGTGTTTACTCCAAGTACATGTCTGACAGCCCTTGGGGATGAGAAGACAGTATAAGTGATGGCAGCATAATTTCCCATTAATGGTCTGAGACTCTTTCCAATTCTTCCCCTAGTTTGAGTGTCACACTGATTTAAATTCTAGCATCCCCAGCATAAGATGGCAAAGCATACTCTGTGATCATGAACTCCTCAAACCATTTTAGAGACTTAAATTAAGCCTACACCAGCATGAGTATTATACCAGAGCTACAGAAGAATAAACCAAAGCCCAGAAAGGTTGAACAATTTTGCCCCAAATCACCAGCAATCCAGTCACAGAACCATGTACAGAATGCGTGAATCCTGGCTCAGAATCTACCTTGCTAGCTACTAGACAATACTCCTTTCCTAATCTCTATCGTAAGTGGCCAAGCATTCATTTCACCTGAGCCACCAAACTGCTTTCAGATAGTAAGGATTTCTAGTTGCTCCTGACCAGCCCAGCATATGAATCAGAGACCTAAAAGCCAACAGCTCAATTAGCAATGTGCTAGTTCCCTATCCTATCCAGTCCCTACTCACTGCAGTTACACATATGCTATGACGAGTCCACTATATAAATCCCCAAAATGTTTCTGAGTGTACAGTACTGCTCAGATTATGGGGCTATAGATACAGAATACACAGGTACAGGCACCAATCTGAATGCATACTCCAGAATATAGGGAAA